GGTCTATCTCAGATCATCAGGCATTAGATTCTCATAAGGAGCATATAGTTTGCATGTGCAGTTTACAGTAGGGTTTGTGTTCCTATGAGAATCTAATGCCACTGCTGCCATTGATCTGACAGGAAGCAAAGCTCAGGCGGCGAGGCGAGTGATGGGGAGTGGCTGTAAATACAGCTGAAGCTTCGCTGGCTTGCCAACTGCTCACCTCCTGCTGTGCAGCCTGGTTTCTAACAGGCCACAGACCGGTATCGATCTGTGGCCCAAGATTTGGGAACCACAGTCCATGAGCATTTTGGGGATCCAGCTAAAGGGAAGTTGAGTGTCAGATACATTTAGTTTTGATGTAGAGGACATATTTTTGTGGTTCAAAGTCACTTGTATGTGTAGCTCAGTTGTTGCTAGTTATACCATGTTAAGAATTGTTTTTGGGAGGAGGGGACGGGTATTTTCATACACAAAGAGTGCAATGCGCACCACCCGAAGGATGGACATATTTGAAACTCGGACTTGGGGGGGGGCAAGGGCAACATAAGTAACATAAATATCTGTACCCCCATAATATGCTGAAATAAAAAAAAAAAAATTAACAATGACAATAAAAAAAAAAATGCTAACAAAAAAAAAAAAAAAAAAAAAAAAAAAAAGAATTGTTTTCATACTGCCCACTGGTGACTTACTTGCTGCCATGAAATAAAGATTTAGGACCAGATATTATAAAATGATGTGAGCTTACCCTGTAGCAATTACCACTGGACTTATGTGGAAAGTGGGAACAAATGAGGGTTGAAATGTTTGGATCCAGAAGTTTATGTGTGGAAAATTCTTCCATTTGTCAGATATGTAAAATTATAAGCAGGGAATTGGTTCTCACCAATACCTAGTCAAAATAGAAACTCTCCCTTATCAGGAACACTTGATAATCCAGCATATACAATTATCAACATATATACATATTATACAAATATATGTTTTCCTTTTTGTTGGAAATTGTACAAGGGAAAACTGATCAAAATATGTGCTGTAGGGCACAAACCTTTGAGTACTAAAAAAAGCATATTTTCTGTGTGAAATCACATGTTTTTGTGCACCCTAACTTCAATTAAAAAAAATTAAATTGATTATTCTAGAAGATTGAATTTTCTTTCTATTATTTCTCTATAAAATTACATAGAAACATTGTCATACGATGAGGTTAAATACAGCAAATATAAAGGTATGCTAGATAGTCAATAAAAATGATACTTTTTTGAATTTTTGATGTTTATAATATTTGTCAGTTTTTTAAAAATTTACAATTTGTGATTTCTTATTTTTTACAAAATGTTCTCTTAACTAATTTGTCCCCCAAATTATATGTTTAAGTTTCCACAAAATTTATGTTTGCCCCTCTGTACTATGTAGTGATAGTTAAAACTTTGAATCGATTTAGTTAAAAAAATTGGGTGAGAAGCTCAATAATTTTTTGAAACTATATAGAAACAGCATAAAATTTTTCATATCCTGTAAAAGTCACTCATTCCTTTTTCTCTAAGAGCAACAATCCTAGTTTGTAAAGTTTTTCTTTATGTGTTATATTTTGAACACCACTGCTGTCCAATGGAACTTTCTGTGATCTTGGAAATGCTGTACATCTCTGCTGCATAATATGGTAGCCACTAACCATATGTGGCTATTGAGCACTTGAAATGTAGCTGGTGAGACTGAAGAATTGAAATATTAATTTTATTTAATTTACATTTATTTAGTCAAACATGGCTAGTAGCTCCTGTATTGGACAACAGAGTTTACACTTTTAATCAACTTTAGGATAAATCTCTCATGTCTTATCCACATCTCTATCTAGTCATCGAGTATAGAATTCTATGTCTTTATGCAATAAAATCCTAACTCATAACTAACAGGATATGTATTATTCAGAAGCTTGTGTTTTATTTTTCAGTATGTCTCAAATCAAATATTCTTGTATTCTCAGTACGCTGTAGGTATTTTTATAGGCAAATCTTATTTATTATGTTTATTGTTGGCAGATGCTGGAAAGCTTAAATAGGTTTGTGGAAATTCACCATTGAAACATACTTTTCCATATGGTACAATTAATCAATTAAAGACTGCTTTATTTGGGGGGAAATGATGCATAGAATCCAATCAATATTGACATTCTGTTTGCCTAAAAGTTGTGCTTACTAAAATGAGTTTGACAAGAGTTTGACATATTCAACAAATGGAGACTTTGTAGTACATCAGAATTAATTTAACAGCTCTTAGCCAGATATTTCATATGCTTTACAAATGTAGAGTGATAGATAAGGCAGATGCAGTGTGACCTGCCCCCTGGAAGATGACTGTTTACATACAAGAACAATTCCTGGAATGTAACAGGAAACTACGCATGACCATATAGCTAAGCTAGGTATTTCTCCAGGCTTCTTGTTACAGTACTGACTGTTTTTTATTCCCCTCCAGGCACAGAAGAAAATCAATCTGAAAACCACACGGAAGAAAATACATATTTAAAAGAAATGTGATTTTCCCAGATATATGATTCTTTATAGTGTATTCTCCAGATAGCTATTGCAACAGCAGGAATTGGAAACCTAAACAAAAAGAAAAACAAAACAGCAGCCTAGATATTAAGGTCTGGTATACTACAAAATTATACTAAAATTCAATAGTAGTATTAAACAATCTTTTAATCTTTAGGCCCACAAAAATTCACAGAAGCCTGCAAATTTGAGTCAAGACATTTTTCATTGTCATCTCCTCTGTATTTTCATAATATCCTATGTTTTTGTCTACTATTTTCATGCCACTGGATTGAAAAAATACAGTTATTTTTTCTATCAAATGTAGTATTCTCTGTGTATACAGTGCTAGATATTAGGATAAAACTGAAATGGTTAGGCAAACATTAAGATATTTTCATTTTAGTTAATTGTGTTCTTAAGGCAAGCAGGCAATGAAGCATTTTTTTTTTTTTTTCAGTTTTCATCTAAAATGAACCTTACTGTTGGGTGCACGCAAATTCAGTTTGCTTAAAAAAAGAAACAGTTGGGCTGGGCGTGGTGGCTCACGCCTGTAATCCTACCACTTTGGGAGGCCAAGGCAGGTGGATCGCTCAAGGTCAGGAGTTCAAGACCAGCCTGAGCAAGTGCGAGACCCCGTCTCTACTAAAAATAGAAAAAAATTATCTGGACAACTAAAAATATATATATATATAGAAAAAATTAGCCAGGAATGGTAGCGCATGCCTGTAGTCCTAGCTACTTGGGAGGCTGAGGCAGGAGGATCGCTTGAGCCCAGGAGTTTGAGGTTGCTGTGAGCTAGGCTAACGCCATGGCACTCTAGCCAAAAAAAAAAAAAAAAAAAAAAAGTAGAAACAGTCATTAAAAACCCAAAGTAATAAAAACTTTTTTGGAGTTCCTTATTTACCTAGTCTTATATTTTGATATATAGATTCTCAAGGTGTAAGAATATGCTAATTTTGGGGGCAGGATTCATAGTTTATGTAGAAATATAATTACTTTCATCAAACTTACATGTGCATATAAGAAAAATCTTAACAGAGTGTTATTTAACAGGTTGAAAAATTTAAAAACATTGCTACCCTTTTCCAGCATAATTAAGTAATGAGAAATTTTGGAAGGAAAAATGAATATTTGTCAAACTGGAGAGGATAAAGCCACCTAGGATTACAATATATACTTTTAGTGGGGGAGTTAAGTTTTATATAAGGCTGAGAGTTCTAACAATTGATAAGCTTTTATAATTCATTGCTCATGAAAAAGAAATGTTAAAAAAAAAAGCCCAGAGAAAATATTGTCAGGGAAGCTCAGGAAGGAGAGCTTTCATAACCTCCTTTTGCATAAGATTTCACAGATATTAAAAAAGATAATAAGGAAATACTATAAACAACTTTATGGTAATGAACTCAAGAAAACAGATGAAATGGATAAATTCCTAGAAAAGCAAAAATGACCAAAGCCTACTCAAAAATAAATTGATACCCAAGTACTTCTATTTCTACTAAAGAATTAGATTTTTATTTATGAACCTTTCTATAAATAAAGCTCCAGGCCCATATAGCTTCACTGGTGAATTCTTAAAAACATTTAAGGAGGAAATGCCATCTACACACAGGCTCTTCCAGAAAACTGAAGAGAATTGAAGTAAAGGAACACTATCTTTAGCTTCCTAAGCTGTTATGTAAACATCCTGCAGTGCCCTTTGCTCAGAAGGCCTGTCCCATGCAGAAACATAAAAATAGTCATGGAAAATTGTCTCCCAAAATATATTAGTGATAAACAATTAGAAATTAAAATGAACAAGTAATACCTTTTATAATAGCAACCTATCTTCAAGACTTTTTATAAAACTACAGTAATCGAGACAGTGTAATATTGAAGTAATGATGGACAAACTGATCCATACTACAGAATAGAGAGTCCAGAAATATACCCACGCATATTTTCAGTTGATTCTTGTAACAGGTGCAAAGGCAATTCAGTAGAGAAAGGATAGTCTTTACAACAAATCATGCTAGAACAAATGGATATCTCTATACAAAAAATAAGAAAGTGAAGTCTTATCCTACCTCATACCATTTCAAAACTTACCTCAAAATTTATCATTGGACCAAATATAAATCCTAAAACTATAAAACTTTTAGAAGGAAGAATAGGAGAAAATCCTTGTGATTTTTCTTGACTTAGGCAAAGATTTTTTAGCTATGATACCACAAAAGCATGATTCATAAGACAAAAAAGTGTTAAATTGGACTTTTTCAAAATTAAGATCTTCTGCTCTTTGAAAGACATTGTAAGAGAATGAAAAGATAAGCCACGTAGTGGAAGGAAATACTTGCAAATCATATTTTTGATAAATTCATGTATCTAGGATAGTTAATTGACTCTCAAAATTCAGGAAGAAAACAAGCAAATAAACCTAATTTTATGGACAAGAGACTTAAACAGACACTTCACTAAAGAAGATATACACAGGTTGGCACCAGCTGTGGGGCAAGATGGAGGTGCTGATTTTGGAACCCTCCCTGTATACTGTCAAAGCTATCCTGATTCTGGACAATGATAGAGATCGACTTTTTGCCAAGTACTATGATGACACCTGCCCCAGTGTCAAGGAGCAAAAGGCATTTGAGAAGAACATTTTCAACAAGATCCATCGGACTGACAGTGAAATTGCTCTCTTGGAAGGCCTGACAGTGGTGTACAAAAGCAGTATTGATCTCTATTTCCATGTGATTGGCAGCTCCTATGAAAATGAGCTGATGCTTATGGCTGTTCTGAACTGCCTCTTCGACTCACTGAGCCAGATGCTGAGGAAAAATGTAGAAAAGCGAGCTCTGCTGGAGAACATGAAGGGTCTCTTCTTGGCTGTGGATGAAATTGTAGATGGAGGAGTGATCCTAGAGAGCGATCCCTAGCAAGTGGTACACCAGGTGGCGTTAAGGGGTGAAGATGTCCCCCTCACGGAGCAGACTGTGTCTCAGGTGTCGCAGTCAGCCAAAGAACAGATCAAGTGGTCACTCCTTCGATGAAGACCTCACTCTTCCTGGCTCCTCACTCACCTAAAACAAAAATCCACGTCTGCTGTGAATTCTCATCCAATCCCCCAACTGATACTCTCAGGGCCATCTTAGAGATCATAGGGATCCTTAAATCTCCATCCTGTCTGTGGTGGTCCCCCCATCCCAAACCCTAAACCCCCCTACACACTTCCCATTCCTTCCTACTCTTTGCAGTACTGGGATAAAGCTCCCAGCAGGCTTGGATACAGGGCAGGGGTAGCACCCTCTTCCTATCTGGGCTGGATTATGCTCCCATGCTCTCCAACCCCCTTATTTTCTCCTCGACTTCTGTGCCCTAGCTACACTTCAGATCAAAGCAGGAGAACGAATGTGCTGAGTGTTTTCCTCCCTTTGCCTTTGCCCAGCCATCATTCCGAGAGCCCATATGTCCAGCAAGGGGAGGGAGAGAGAATTCCTTTTTATAGAATGAGTGGGGGTGGGGATGGGTAGGGATGTATCCAGTGTCAGGCGCAGCCCCACTTAACGGGCCTCAGCATTTTCTCCTATTCCTTCTTACTGTCCTGTCTTCCACCTTGGAAAAGAGATTGGAAATAGCTCATAGGGAGGGGACAGAGAGGAAAAAGCAGTGATTTAAAGTTTATTGGATAGACTTTATAAAATTCATTCCTCTATCCTGATCCTGGCATAGAGCTTCAAAACTGCTGTGGTGAGTGTCCATCTCTTGGTCGGCTACTCGCCTTAACTCTCTGTCTAAATATCCATGGGATCTTTGCATGGTTTGTGCCCTCTGAGTCCCGCAGCAAAGCCAGTCCCTGGAACTAAAACTGCATTCTAATCTTGGGAAGGAAGAGTTTCTGCTCAAAACTGGAGAAAGTGGAATTTATGACTCAGGCCTCTATACTCTCTTGGTCCCCTCAACTCCCCCACAGCATTTACTCCTCTGCCTTGGGTCTGCAATCTGCTGCTTAACCCTGTCCTCTCTCTGCCTCAACCTTACATCAAAGCAGTAGGTCTGGGCTGTTCCCCCTACGTTGCTGAGAGTGGTGCCTTTCTTCATAAAACCTTTGGGATTTGGATTTCCCCAGGAAGATGGAGAATGGAACACCCACTCTTATGTCTAATCTTACTTCTCGACCCAAAACTTCCTCCCCACAAAAATGTCTTAACCTTCCTGAGATTTAAGCATTCTGCACCACCCACTAACTGCCAGTTCTTCAACACTGAAGTGGGGCAGACAATTGGGCATACTTAAGGGGGTATCTTTGTGTAAGAGATGTATGGAGCCAGGAGATAGCCACCTTCATATTCTGCTCTGTGTAACGAGGAATAAAACAGATTTCTTTTTCCAAAAAAAAAAAAAGAAGATACACACATGGAAAACAGGCACACTATGAGTTGCTCAATATCGTTATTCATTAGGAAAATACCAAATAAATACAGAATGAGATATCTTTGAACACCTATTAGAATAACCTAAAATAAAAAGGAATGATCATATCAAGTGTTGGTGAGGATGTGGGGAAATTGGAACTTTCACACATTGCTTGTGGGAATGTAAAATGGTTCAACCACTTTGGAAAATCATTTTGGCAGTTTCTTAAATGTATGCCTACATACAACCCAGCCATTTAAATTCTAGCTATTTATGTAAGAGAAATGAAAGCATCAAAGACTTGTCCATTAATGTTTATGGCAGCCTTACTTATATTAGTCAAAAACAGGAAACACCTCAATTGTTTATCAACAGCTGAATGTATAAACAATTGTGGTTTATAAAATAAAATACTATTCAGTACTAAAAAAAAAAAATACATGTTTCAACACAGAAACATAGATGAATCTCAAAATAATTATGCTGCCCAGCAAATACTGAATAAAATACAAAAGGTATTTCAAAGAAGCAAGTGATCAATTTCAATATAAATGATAATAGAAACTAGGGGGCAGATCGGATGATGTTACCTCCCTTTCTCTGTAAATGGCATCAGTCTTCACTTATTTGCTAAAGCAAAATAGTTGAGCATCCTCTTGGACTTATTCTCTCCCTTGATTTTTCATCCAATTGGTTATAATTTCTTTTCTATCTTATATTAGATATATTCTAAATACATCTTATTTCTGTCCTATTTTCTCTGACTTATCTTCTATTGCTTTGGGTAGATCCTCATTATTTCCTATCTGCAAGTACTTCCTAACCATTCTCTCTGTGTCCAGTCTTCTTCCCCTCTAGTCTATATTCATGCAGAAAAGGGGAGCAGTTACCTGTAGGGGTCAGGGGAAGAAGCAACTACCACAAGTAGGAGAGAGAGAGTTCCAGCTGCAGGAGGCCAGGTGACTAGAGCTGTGGTCTTTGATGGAGGAACACAGCCATTGTGGAGCCATAGCCTGGGCAGAAATGGTGGAACAAATGCTGACCTCACATTCCTCTCCCCTTTCAGTCTCCTGCCCATTTCTTTTATTAGCCAAACCCAAACTAGAAGAATGGATTTGGAGAGACAAACAGAGGATATGTCAACACATCCTTCTTCAACAAAAGACTAATCATTTTATTCTCCTTGTGAAAATAGCTTTGTGTGTGTTTTGGGGCAGGAGCAGACCTTTGCCCCTACCTTCAAATTTGAAAGGTAATACTTTTTCTTATCCTTAATGTTTATTTGCTAAACTAAATTAATGGTAACTATAATTTATGAAGTGTCTACCATGTGACAGGCACTCTCCTAAGAACTTTATATGTATTATCTAATTTAATCATCTCCATAGCTCTGTGAAAGAGAGACTATTTTCAATATTTTACTGATAAGGAAGCTTATCTATCTGCACAATGGAGTCACATTACACGTGCATAGTCAATAATCTTACATGGATTTATTAATACTTGTAGGAAGGAAGATATGAAGCAAAATGAGAAGTTAAATTATACAGATGATCTCATTTACCATTCCACTTTCAACTTTGAATGAGAAACTGGAGTTTATATATTTTGTATTATGTGACCCTTGAAACATACACCAACTAATTTATCTAGTTCTCAATGGAAGAAACAAGGCAGGAAGAAAACTGGCTTTTATGAATTATTAAGAGATGGTATGTTGTTTTCCAATGTGGCTTCATTTGTGTACCTTATTCTCATTTTATTCACTGACTTTAAGCCTAGCCTTTGATAACATGGCCCACTGTTAAGAATTAGAGCCTGGATTAAAACATAGGCTGATTATATTAATGGAAGCCTGTCTGATTATAAACTCCTTCCTCTTCAGCACTATCATATGAAGCCTCACTAAAGAAAAGGATAAAAACTGTCAACTTGAATTTTTTTCTTTCTCCCTGCAGAATTGTAAGCTTGAGATTCTTTCACTTTTTCTTGGTTTACTGTTACTTAATATTTTTGAGTGCCTGCAACTTGAAAGGCAATGAAAATTTTATATATCCTGCCATTGTCTTTTATTAGCTTGATTTTATGAAAGGGTACACTTATAAAACAGTATTCATATTTTACAGTATAGGATATGTCAAATTTCTGTTGGATATAAAAAGTTTATTTCCATAACTTATACAATACATGTCAGAAAAAATGTTAGCATTTTTAAGACTAGGAGCAATTTTTTTCTCTTTCTGTTAGTTTTATTTGTCTAAACATTATGCAGAAATATTTAGTGCTCATAATCTAACATTGTTGGAAATCCAAATACATCCATTTTTAGAGCAGAAGATACTTTTTATTCAAAAGAAACTGTTAATAAATACTGCAAATACTTTGAGTCCACATTTTTGCTTTCAAAATATCCTTCTAATTCATAAGGTACATCGATTTATATCATTGCTACTTATTTTAAGCTTTATCTTCCATATTAAATTAAAGGTTCATGTATTTATTATTTGTATCTTGAGCATGCCTACAACATACCTGCAAATATTAAACATTCAGTAAATGACTGCTGAATGAATGAATGAATGAATGAATGAATTTTCTAAATGACCAGCTACCAAGATTTATTTTGAATTTTCATTAATTCCATTTATAGTTGACCTAGAAAATCTATGCTGTTTATATTCAGGAGGTGATATACACTTCTGATACATGGAGTTATAATCATTATGTTCTAGATCTTGAAATAAAATGTATTCATTTTAAGCAGAAATCCACAACAAAAATAAGCAAACTATCAATGGTAGAAAGCATAAATTGGGCTGAATAAGTGTTCTGTTGGATGTGCATAGTATTTTTTAAAGGTTTTTGAGTCAACATTTTATAGTCAGATGATTTATCACAAAAATTGGGATTTCTGGATTTCCCTAAAATCTGAAGGTAAGCCAACACTGCCTCAGTTCCCCAAAGCCATGTCCATTGGCCCTTTAGACCCGGCCTTTGGTGCTAGCTAGTGGCTCACGCCTGTAATCCTAGCACTTTGGGAGGCTGAGGCGGGTGGATCATTTGCACTCAGGAATTCAAGACGAGCCTGAGCAAGAGCGAGACCTTGTCTCTAATAGAAAGAAAATAGCTGGACAACTAAAAATATATAGAATAAATCAGCTGGACATGGTGGCGTGTGCCTGGAGTCCCAGCTCCTAGGAAGGCTGAGACAGAAGGATTGCTTCCCATCCCTCCTGCAAGCGCCTGCACCTCCACTTCTAACTGGCTCCAGCCATCATTTATATCAGTTGTCCTGAGACTGAGGGTGCATGAAAGGCATACTCAGACTGAATGATTTTAAGGGAATCAGTTTCTAGATTCTCAAGTTCCGGTATTCTTTCTTAAAAAGAATACCGGTCTGAGAACCTGCCCTGAGTTCACAGTAACCCTTCTTCCAGAAGAGAAAAGAAAGGCACACCCTCTTCCATCCCAAATCTAATGTTCTGGGCTTAAAATCTAAGGAGCTTGAAACAAAATGCAAACTTCCTGTAATGATTAATTGAAGCACTACAGACCTTGGGAGATGCTCGTCTGTCCTGTCTTCCATTTTTGGGTTCCTGGAGAAGGCTGGCATGAAAAATGGGATCTCTATAGTGATGCTCTAAATGCAG